GTTATTGAGGCAAATGGAGACGTAACGAACTATTGAAATAAAAAAAAATATTTTGTAACCTTGAAAAATAAACAAACTTCAAGATAAAATTAAACAATGTCCGAACTATTTTGTGTTAGTGCTCGTAATATGAGTCCTAATTCGTCAAATTCAGATACAGATACATGCACAAATTTATTTTCAAAATAAATGTCATAAGCCGACCTAACTCGAGATAGGTCAGTTTGTGAGATGAATAAATTTCACTATCATGCGATCTGTTACCGGCCAAATGGTAATTATGAGAAGAGTATAACAGGAAAGGTTTTATATTGAGTAAAAGTTTTTAGTCGTAACTCAAAATAGGATTTTTTTGAGATACTTCACTTTATGAAATTAACGACGATATTCCTGGCGGCTTCCGATTAAGAAGTTATTAGTATTTTTTAAAACTACTCAAAAGGGAGAAAAATTGAGTTATCTTATAGATAGATTATAGATGTAAACAGTCTGCTGCTGCTTTATGAAATGTCTGTTATTACAGAAACATTCCCGAAATGTGAAAATGAGCTCAGAAATCCTAAGAATCATCAAAATTGTATACAATTTCATGCTAAATATGCAAATTTTAACGTACAATCGGATTCCCTGGGGATCGGTATAATGACTAGTACAGTGTTTGTGAATTATGCGTCAATTTCATCGCCCAGAATTTGGACTTCATAACTTCCATTCAATAAACAAGTAGGAGGGGCTCGTCCGGAAAGCACTGTATTATTAGGAATGTAGAAAAATTTTCCAAATGCGGTTTTGTACTTTGGGCGGTTCGAAAATGGTCAACATGAACATATGTAGATAACGTATGTTTTAATTGTAATTTTAAAAAATACATAATAATATCGAGTTGCCTTTGGAAAGCAAAGTTTGTCTACTTACTTTGCTGTCAGTCGACATCAATTTATTGTTTGTGTGTTGTATTGTTGTGTGTTTCTTTGTGGCAAAAATGTTATTTCTTGAAGAAAGATAAGGTAATATCTCGTACTTATTTTAAATATGAATTTAGTACATAGTTTGCGATTGATTTGACCAAACTTTGTTGCTAAAATAACTTGTTATGCTTTATTACATAAATAATCATGGTATATTCCACAGCAGAAAGAGTTGAAATTATCGAAATATTCAGTGCGCTAATAGAACAGCAGAAATATTTAATGAGCGATATGAAAGCAGTAACGTGCATCGAAAATACCTTCTAGAACTTGTATAGTCAACGCCAAACAAAGTGGCGTGCACGTCATCAAGGTGGGTGTGTTGAAAAATTTACATTGTTGCCAAACTTTTTGTAAAATAATAAAATTTATTATTTACATATCTAGGTTTATAAGCAATATTAACCTCAAATGAGAACAAAAATAATAGTATAATAAAATTATAGATCTGTACTTGCATAATCATTAAGTATGACAATTATTGATCAGATGACACTATGAAACTACCATATTTAATTGATAGCTTAAAGGTACTGAATAAAAATCCAAATGGGGTCCTCCAAATTTTATGCATGGTATTTATTTTACAGAATTCATACAGAAAAATGCATTCTAAAATTAGGTAAGCTACTGGTGTAAGCTTTTTCTGTACAATAAAGTTAGTCGGAGTTTCTTTCTTCAGCGCTGTCTGAATCTGAATCTTCATCACTCTCAAAGTTGATTATTAAAGGTTCGATGTCTGGTCGATCAAAAGTTCGTTCTCTTTCATACCATTTAAGAATTTCTTGCTCAGTATGTCGAACACTATTTTTCCACATGTCTGGGGTAACCGTTTGTAGAGCCTCGTTCCACATATCCAAACAGTCTTTTTCACTGTTACCATCTCTACCAATATGTCTGTTATAGTAACCTTTTGCTATGCCCCAAATTAACTCAATAGGGTTAAATATACAATGGTAAGGAGGCAGACGAAGAACTTTGTGCCCATGTTGTTCCGCCAATTCATCAATCACGTATATTTTAGGTGGTTTGTTTCTAAAAAAGCAGTTATTTTAAGAATAGGAATAAACAAAAAGAAATATAAACTGTCGACCAAAATATATATAATTAAGAAGCATTATGTACCGAGCAACAATACTCAATAGCTCTGTTTTAAACATTGTGTTTAAAAATGGTATGTTTTGATTTGTCAACCAGTCTTGGATATTTTTTTTTGTCCATGCATTGTTGGGCACTTTGTTCAATATCATGCTGTGATAAGGGGCGTTATCCAGTATAATCATAGATGGACTCTCCAATTTTTCTAATAACTGATGTTGAAACCATTTCAAAATATTGTCCTGGTTCATCTCTCCATGGTAATCGCTCAATTTTGTTTTCGAAGAAAATATCGCTTCACTACCGTCAATAAACCCATTTTCATTTCCAGCATGTAATATAATGTATCTAAAATATTTTAGTTTTAAATTTTATAGTGCAAATTGTGTAAAAGTACATACCTTTTACCATCTGTTTTAATAGCTTTCACGCTTTTTTGGTTTCCATTTTGCCAAGAGCGACCTATGGTCCCATTTTGAAATATCCAAGTTTCATCGAGGAAGACAAACTGGTATAAGGCCTCAACCTTGGCTTGATTGTATTGCCTTAGAAAGTCTACCCTTTTCAAAGCTATACTTGGTAGTTCCATGAGCCCTCGTCGCGGATTGTCCTTAAGCCACTTAAATCCAAGATCTCTAAGCAACCGCCTTAAAGACGTGGCACTACCATCAAATAATGCCCTATCTCTTAATCGAGACCATAAAGTTTGTATCGTAACTTGTTCTTCTGAAACCATGTGTAATATGACATTATAATTTAGTTAACAAATTAATGCAAATTTCTGATAAGTTATTATAATAAGATCATACTTTTGTGATACATATTATAGATCACTTCTCGAATGGCACTTGTATCCAATGTCGCTGTGTTGGTTACACGTTTAATATAACTCCGCTTTTTCTTGGGCGATTCTAAATTTGCATCACTTTTCACACCCTCGGAAATACGACTAACTGTCCTTAAACTAATTTTTAAAGCAGCAGCAACACGCTACAAAAAATGAAATAAAATTTCACTATTATTAATATACATTACATATAATTATTAGTAACCTACCTCTTGAACAGCATTTAAAGGCAACAAAGGCCCGTTGTTGTCCCTTTCTTGCTCAAAGTAGTGCATTAACGAGGCCACGAGTTCCTTACACCGACTATTTAACTGTTTGGGCATCCTTATATACCAAAATTGCCTTTATCTACTCGTAAAATGAATAATTTTGTTTTGAAACAAACAGTTGTTGATTTACAGTATGCGGGGCCAAAGGATTTATAAAGATTTGAAATGCCACAAATTGATTCAGTGTCAAAATTAATACAAATGTCAGTTCCCAGTTTAAATAAGTTTCAAGGTGACAATGTGTCAACGCTGCGAAATCGGTTTAGTGCGTTTACATGTCGATAAGTGATTGGAGCGTTTGCAAAACATTTTATTTCGCATAATGCGTCTAAATTTATCAGAAAGCAACTTATGTGATATTTTAATAACAATGTTTATATGACTATTAACCATAATAAGAGAGTAATGACCATTTTACAATTTATATATCACATTAATATGAAACTGCAATAGAGCAATTGTTTGTGATAGAAACCTAGGCATTAGGTCGGGGAATTTTTATCGTGATGACGTGCACGCCACTTTGTTTGGCGTTGACTATAGCTAAATTTCGGGAAACTGGGTCAGTCGCCAATAAAAAACGCAACATTGAAAATCCCATAAGGAACGAAGTGGGGGTTTTAGGGGTTTTAGGGCAAGTTTATGTAGATCCTACGTTAAGTACCCGCAAAATTGGAGACTGTGTGTTGTGTTAGTCGACGTACTGGCCAACGGATTCTAGAGGCCCATAGTTTTCAACCGTATAAAATTCACCTGGTACAAGAACTTAATGAAGACGATTTTGATCGGCGATTACAATTTTGTGAAGATATGAGTGAACGAATTATAAACGATGAACATTTTCTATTCAACACTTGCTTTTCCGACGAATGTTCCTTTTTCTTAAATGGCATAGTAAATCGTCATAACTGCCGATATTGGTCCGACTCTAATAGCAGAATTTATCATGAGGTTCATACAGAGCAGCCACAAAAATTAAATGTTTGGGCTGGGATTTTTGGCGATCATTTAGTTGCTCCTTTTTCCTTAACTGGAAATTTGACCGGTGAAATGTATTTGGAATTACTGGAAGACGCCATAGATCCTGCATTAGCAGCCATAATTGAAAATCAGAATGATCGGCGGTACATTGCGAATAGATTGATGTTCCAACAGGATGGTGCCCCACCACATTACGCATTACGTGTTCGATAATATTTAGATCAGATGTTTCCAGATCGATGGATTGGTACAAGAGGTGCCATTGAATGGCCGCCAAGATTGCCAGATTTATCACCTTTGGATTTCTTTATGAGGTGTCATTTAAAAAGCAAAATCTATGTTACACAGCCAACATCATTAGAATACCTGCGACAAAGAATTGTGAATGAGTGCATTCAAATTACTCCTCAAGTATTGCAAAATGTGCGGCAACGATTTCAGCAAAATCTTTATTATTGCATGGAGAGTCATGGTGGCCATTTTCAGCATTTACTTGCCTAACGGGTCAGTTCATTCTTCATTTTTAAATGACTTTGCTGCCAAATGTATTGATCTCCACTAATGATGATGTTTTAATTTTATTTATTCTTTAAATCAATAAATCTTGAAAAATACTTAACTGAAGTACCTTAGTTTTATATCATTATAAAGGGAATTGAAAGACCTTTAAAATGAGGTATCACTTGACCCCCCTTTCCAATTAAGATTTTGGGGGTGCTGTCACCCCCGTTTAGGGGGCTGCAGGGGCTAACGTGTCCCCATCGAAAACAAAATCGACGGGTCTGAGCGTTTTTCAAAAAAAAAACTGAGCTGTCAGTAGATGCGTCTGTTTCTTACCTGGTACTGAGTCCTCGCATTTCTACAAGCATAGCTGAGATGGATGCCGAAGATCAGAATGACGATTTCACCAGCTTCTGTAACGTAATCCCACCACAGCGGTTTGCAGCTTTTGTAGAACTCGCCGTCGATCGTTTGGCCTATGTACAGTAAACTGTAGTCTTCCTGAATAAAGTTCAGAGTTATTGCTGTGTAAGCTGACATATACGCAAAGACCTGAAACAGAAAAACAAGATTACAGTATCCATTATTTTTTTCAACAAATTGAGGCATATTAGACGTAACGAAATCGCTAATCCAACACGTTAGAGATGCTGTAAGTGATGTTAATTATCGCACTTAAATTCGCATTCGTATCCGCATTCGCAAAAGTTAATATCAACTATTCGTCATTTATTTGTCTGGGCGGTCCGTAGGACCTTTGCCCATTAGTCACTGTCTGATGTACGTTAGTCGAATCTGTCAGTCCTGGTTGCCCAGAAACCAGACAAAGTCAAGGAAAAAGAGAAAGGGAAAGAGAAGAACAAAGAAAAACAGATATGCTTAGTTTAAGAGGAAACACCTAGGCTTTTTGACTTGGTAGACGGATTAATTTTGAGGTGAACTAAACAATTTTTTTGATTCGGTTTTGTTAGAGTGTAATTTTGAGTTTACTAAAGATTCACGTTAACTTTTGATTACAGTGCGAGCCGTGGCCTTGAATGTTTACAAACTTGCTCCACTGTGTAGTCCACTGAATCACGCAACAGAGGGTTGCTGTGCGATTCCGCTTGAAAGTTAATATCAAGAAGAGATAATAACGAATGTCCCAAGAGTTTTGGCTCAAAATACAGTGTGAGTCTTCATAAAGTGCACATATCAAAATCAGGGAAACTACGCTCTATTTCATCGACGGATAAATCATCAAAAAAACATGAATTTGATTTTTTATGGATATATGAATATTTTAAAATTTTTAGTAGCAGCTTCTAACCATATTGAAATAACTCGTTACAACTTTTACACTAAATGTCCTATCATATTGGAATACATTTTGTAGTGATTGCTGGTAAAAGGACGTGCCTGAAAAGTGAAGAATTCCAGGAAAAGTAATGAATACATCCATTTAGAATAAAGAAAATTTTGATGAAAATCTGTTTTTTTTTTCATCGTTTTTACAATAATTTCAAATTTTCTATAAAAATCGTCCCTTGTACCCTACCTTTTTTTATTTGTAAGTCATTCTACATGTTATCAGCTTTATAAAAGTAAAAATTGCACGTTTATTACTCAAATGTAACAGTTTCTATGAGTGTTTATAGAAAAGCCCATGCGCATCGTCTTGCTAGGTACCATTGTTTATCATGTAGATACCTTTTTTGGTGATTCAATGTAGAGTCGCGCGGGCTTTCGCTTTTTGGTCCCGATGCCACGTATAAGTGATTTCCCTCCGGCACACATTGCCGATATCCATTATTATTATGGAATGTACCGAGGGAGTGCTAGAGCTGCTTGCACAGCTTATCTAGCTGCATTTCCAAATCGACGCCCTGTTCCATCAGCCCGTAACTTCCAAGAAGTACATAGAAGACTGGCTAACACTGGACTTGGTTTGCCTCGAGATCGCCGCGAACCAGGTGTTACTATTCATGTTGCTATCGAAGAAGCCATTTTGGATGATTTGTTTGCTGACCCGACTACTAGTACGAGACGTTTGGCGTTAGGTCATGGCGTATCCCAGAAATCGGTTTGGCGCATCTTGAGGAAAGCAGGGTTACATCCATACCATTATCAAAGGGTGCAGCACTTGCATGAAGATGTGGATTGGCGTCCAAGGTGCGTTATGTCTACATGGATTTTAATAAAAACAAGAGACAATCCTGAATTCCCGAAAACAATTCTGTGGACAGATGAATCTCGATTTACGAGAGACGGCATCGTGAAATGTCGTAATTTGCATAAGTGGTGCCCAAAAGATGAAAACCCTAGGGTGAAAAGGGCTTCAACATTTCAAGTGAAATTTTGTGTAAATGTGTGGGCCGCACTGATTGACAACTTTTTGATTGGTCCAATAATACTCCCGAGGACATTAAACGGAGAGAGATTTCTGGAGCTTTTGCGGACTGAACTGCCCTTGTTGTTGGAAGAAGTGCCGCTGCAAACCCGTCGAAGAATGATGCTTCAAACGGATGGATGTCCTGCCCATTACTCGCTGATTGTCAGGTCTTTTCTTAATGAAAATTATCCAGGCCGCTGGATCGGTCGACAAGGACCTGTTGGGTGGCCGGCGCGTTCCCCAGACCTCTCACCTCTCGACAATTTTTTATGGGGACAATGAAACAAAGGGTGTACAGCAGTTCCATAAACAGCGAAGCGGAACTTGAAGAAAGAGTTTTGCGTGTTGCAAACGAAATCAAAAATGATCCCGAGATGATTCGTAGGGCAACTCATCAAATTTCACTTCGCGCTACAATGTGTTTGCAGCAACGGGTGGCCATTTTGAACATTTGATGCATTAAGCCAAAATGATTATCCTATAGACAAGTCTATTTGATTTTATTTGTTAGATAATGAATGATTCATGTAGGTTAATACTGTTGTTTTATTCCTACTCTGGCGTTGAACTGAGTTCACTGCTTTTTGAAACGCTGATTTAAAAACTTGTATCTAAGTAATAAACTTGCAATTTTTCACCATTAGGAAGCTAATAACATGTAGAATAACTTAACATTTAAAAAAGGTAGGGTAAATAGGACAATTTTTATTGAAATATAGCAATTGTTTTAAAAATCATTGAAAAAATAGTGAGTATCAGCATTTTCCTCTTTATTTTAAATTTATAGCATTTAATTTCGTGGAAATTTTCACTTTACTGATACGGCCTATTATTTGCAATCACTACAAAATTTATTCCAATATGATAGGACATTCTGTTTAAAAGTTGTAACGATTTATTTAAATAGGGTTAACAGCTGACTCTAAAAATTTTAAAATATTCATAAAAAATCAATTATTGTTTTTAATTTTTTTTTGATGATTTATCCGTCGATGAAATAGAGTGTAGTTTCCGTGATTTTGATATGTGCACTTTATGAAGACTCACATTGTATTTATCGGATTCTTTTGATGAAGAAATTTATTTAAACACTAACTTGTTATCATAATTACAACACAAACTTAACGTAACTATACCATTGAACTGGAGCGACCCATTCGACTCTACCAGTCGCAACTTTCTTTGAATGTCTGTCATGAGGTCCTGGATGGAATTCACAGCAGTTTCGGTCAGTTTTGAATGAATGAATGAATAATTCTGCGTGAAATGCCTAACCTACTTTTTCTTATTTCTAATTTATACGATATCTTAAAGCAAAACTTCAAAGTAAATAAATGTCAACTGACAATAAGTAAGCAGAAGTAAGGCAACTTGATACTACGAGTATTTTGTGCTTATTAAAATGAAGGCCAATCAATTTTGTGCCTAAGCTTCCAAAACATACGGTAATAGAATATTATGCACTTGAATAGAACAAAGAATATTCGATTATTTTTTTTCTAGAGCAGCATGTTGTAAGAGATTAACAAAGCCTTTATTCTTCACATTATTTTTTTTGGTGTTATAAACAATCGTCACGGGTATCATGTAAAAAACCTACAAAACGTCAAAAAAAAAACCTATAAGATGTTAACTTGCAGACTAGGTAGTTTTTAGGGCGCAAACAGTCATTCCACGTTTGCTCACTAGGATCGTTGTGAACGTCCATCTATGGAGGAATCACTCAACTAAACTACACGTATTATTGGTTGCATATGTTTTATCTCTGAGAAGAAAGTTGGTTGAATAGCAAGATCGCGTCTGGATGATTATGTGATTTGGTGTGCATGTGTATGAAAACAGTTATATTTGCTGTGTAAGAAAATCATTACTGAACATGCCGAATATGACGGGTTATTTATATGTTGTGCTTTCTGAAGAGAGGTTATGCTCACAGTTATAAATTACGAAAACTTCATCATTACGCTAAGAAAATAACGGTGCACGCAATTTCATTCATCCCTCATTACGTTAAAACTAAGAAGCAAATAAAAATTAGATAAAAGCATTTTGTGTGGTTATATTTTGTCAGGAGGAATTTGTTTCGTTCTTCCTGACTCACCCTGCAGAAAAAACTGCAAATTTTTGTTCCAATATACCCTCGAAATTCTATTTGCTGTCGTCATATATAATCCTATCAGGCTTAAATAAAGCTATAAAGAGGGAGAAATGGCACAATATCGTTTTTATGCTCCACAAAATTCCCAGCCCTACGAAAAAATTCGTTTGAGGTTTATTGATATCTCCCTTTTAAGAATCTCCGTCCATAAAATGTGTATATTTTGTAGTGGCGATATAGAGCCTCGCGGTGGGAAGCTGTGCAGTTACAACATGTGAGGAGATTCAGTGTTTATTTTCGTTCTTTCAAGTACTATTCAAGTATTGCATGTAGGAGGGACACTAGAAAAGAAATCTACCTAGCCATGAAAAAACAATTGAAACGCACGTCTAAAATGTCAAATAGCGTCATGTGTTTTAGAACTACTTACAAAATTTGATCTAACTTTCATAATTAGTTTCCAGTTTATAAAGTGTAGGAGCAACTGACGATATGACTCTTCAAGATCACACATTTTGGTATTTTTGGTCAATGTGAATAAAATAAGAGGTCTGGAGGAATGCACATTCACCAAAAACGCTACAAAACTTTATTCAATCTGAATTACTTACATAATGCTCAATTTTCACTTCAGATTTGTGTTGTAGAGGGAAAAGTCGTGAGATCCTCAGCAAATACTACTTTTTATTTTTTGGTGGCTTTGTGGACGGTTCTTCTGTAAAATTTTGACTTTAGATTCGTGTTCAGGGCATGAAAAAAACGTCGCGTCGCAAGTACACACCACTTTTTCTAATTTTGTGGGCCTATTTAGTTGACAGATTGATAGATGAAATTGGACCACGTAAGGAGCCACCCTCGTAAAAGTATGTAGCTCTTTGTAGATTCTTACTTTTCTGCATTTCCAATCAAAACGGCAGGACTCTAGTTCTATCATAAATCTTTCATAAATTTGAAATGTACGACTTTTTAGAATAGACCCTGACGAATTTGCATAAAAAATCAGTCTGATATATTTCTTGCCTTCATGAACAAAAGTTCTCACGGGGCCAAAGCAATTCCTAGATTAGTTTCTGAGAAATAGGA